GTTGGAAAAGTGTTTGCTATGACCATCGTATTCTCTTGACAAAATTCTACCAGCCTGTGCCCTGCTTCATTTTGTACTCCAAGGCCAAACTTGCCTGTTATTCCAGTTATCTTTTGGCTTCCTACTTTAGCATTCCAATCCCCCATGATGATAAGGACATCATTTTTGGGTGTTAATTCTAGAAGGTGTTGTAGGCCTCCATGGAACTGGTCAACTTCAGCCTCTTTAGCACCAGTGGTTGGGGCATAGACTTGGACTATTGTGATGTTGAATGGTTTGCCTTGGATTTGAACTGAATCATTCTGTCATTTTGGAGAGTGTATCCCACTACTGCTTTTTCTACTCTTTTATTGACTATGAAGGCTACTCCATTTCTTCTGAGGGATTCTTGCCCGCAGTCGTATACCTGAGGGTCATCTGAATTAAATTCACCCTTTCCTGTCCATTTTAGTTCACTGATTCCTAAGAGGTCGATGTTCAGTCTTGTCATCTCTTGTTTGACCACATCCAGCTTGCCTTGATTCATGGATCTTACATGCCAGGTTCCTATGGAGTATAGATCTTTGCAGCATCGGACTCTCCTTTCACCACCAGATACATTGGCAATTGAGTGTCCTTTCGGCTTTGACCCAGTCGCTTCATTATTTCTGGCGCTACTAGTACTAGCCCTTCACTCTTCCCCAGTAGCACATTGGATACCTTCCAACCTGAGGGGCTCATCTTCTGGCATCATATCTTTTTGCCTTTTGGTACTGTCCATGGGGTTTTTATGGTGAAGATACTGGAGTGGGTTGCCATTTCCTTCTCCAGTGGATCACGTTTTGTCAGAGCTCTCTGCTATGACCTGTCCGTCTTGGGTGACCCCGCACAGCATAGCTCATAGCTTCATTGAGGTATGCAAGCCCCTTCGCCACGACAAGGCAGTGATCCATGGAGGAGGACATACACATATGTATCTTAATATGCCCCTATGAAAAACAAACCCCGTATATATGGGAAGCCAATCTTTGACAAACGGGTTTGTGGTTGCTTGTGGGGAAACTGAGTCAGTGACAGTAACTTCAAAGTGCCGTTTGGACACTGGTTAGAGCAGCTGTGACAGTACATATTTCTTCACATCCAAAGTCCATATGACAGCATCATATCTGAATAGGCTTTTTACAGGTTCAGATGTGGTTGGTTCGTATATTTTTCTGGAATAAGAACTGTGCAAAGTCAGGCCAATTTACATTGGATTGTAGGTGCATAGACCCTATTATGCATCCATGACTTTGGAAGTCAAAAGTCATCAGGCGGATGTGTTACGTGTGCTGGGAAGGGAAGAAATGCACATTCATGCTCTTCCCCAAATAGAACCAGACGTGGGGACAGGAAACATTCTATTTGACTGAAGATAACAGAAAAATGTATTCTCTTGTGGCATTCCATCTTTATAATTCTTTCTTCTCTGCCACGTGACAGGTGCTATACTTGACACAGTTTTGGCATCTGTTGAAAATGTATCTGTTTATGCAGACATTTCATTGATTTTCATATCTAGCCAAATAATTTATTTTTGTGGTTCTTATTTTAATGGTTGTTTTAATTAATTTTGTACACCACTGTTCATTTGATCATGCAGAATTGTAAATATATATATTTTAAATACAATTTTAGATGAAACCTCCTCCCAAGTTTGTTGTGAATGGAAAAAAGAGCATGCTTCCTGTAATGTTCCCTTCTAGCAGGGCACCAAGCAATCAACTAAATTCAGGGGTACCTGGTTTGGGGCTTCTCTGCATGAGGCATTTATTGTACACTTGTGATTCCTGACCCAGGTTAGTTTGTCAGTGCTTTATATGACAAAGTCATCCTTCAGTCCCTCTCCTGTACTTTCTAATGATTTCTGCAGCATTTTTCAGAGCAAGGAAAATGTTGTGAATTGGAAGGGGAAACCTGTGCGTTTTCACAGTGCTGTTCTACCTCAGCACCACTTCATGGTTGTGTAATAGCACATATAGAAAGGCAGAGAAGAAAATCCCCAGGGTGCCAGTGGAGGTGGAAAAGCACACGTAAAGGAGTCAATCTTAATTCCCCAAGGAATCCAGAGGCAGAAGCTTCTGTAAAATCATGGGTTTAAACCTATCATGTAGAGGAATCTTCAATGCAATTGTATTATTGCTAATGAAGGTGATTGTGTGGCTGCCATGACCACCTGTTATGCAGTGTTCAGCCAGATGTTCCTCTGGAGTAAGAAGAGCTGTTTGCTGAGAATCTCAAAGAAAATATTACAATCAACCTTTAAATTTTTGTCACAAATTAAAGTTAAGACAAAGAGGAATGGTGCAGACATAGAATTGGGGGAGTTCATGTAACATCTGATGCACTTCAGATGTTTTGTAAAGTGGCTCCCACCAGTCCCAGTCAACAAGGGTAATGGTCGGAAATAATCCAACATTTGCAGAGGGCAGCAGGTTGGGGAATGATTGTGTCAGCACTGGATTTAATGATTGTGTCAGCACTGGAGAAAGGGTACATTGAAAGTATTGTAGACTCCATGTTGCTTTCTTAGGAGTCTTCCTTCAATCAGAAAAGCCAAAAACAAGCTTTGCTTTGGGAAGCTGTATACACTGGGGGAGGCATGCTTGGAGAAGCTTGAGTTCAGTGGAGGAAAAGGCCGCTGCCATATATGCAGCATGTTTTTGCTCTCTTACTTGTACTTTCTTGGCCACTAGAGACCCATTCCATTCCAGTGAATTTCATTTAGTCCCCTGGAAAGCCACTTCACCTTCATGCAGCTGACTGTTTACAATGTTATCCTGACCTTCCTGCAAAGAGCTCAAGGTGGCATATATGGTTTCACACTTTGTGCTTAAGAACGTAAGAAGAGCCATGCTGAATCAGGCCAAGGGTCCCTCTAGTCTAGCTTTCTTACAATTACCTTGGCACAGAGGAAGGGAAGGATGGAGTTTGGCACAAAGGGACCCAATAAAAGCTTCGTGGCTGAGTGGAATTCAGGGATCTGAATTCTGGTCTTTCTTCTGGCCAGAATATTGGATTCCATTTCTGCCAGCAAGCTAAATAAGCCATTGTTGGATCCCCTTTGGGTGAATCCTATTTCTAATATGGATCCACTTCTATCATGTTAAATATCCTTTGTTTCAATAGCTTTTGCCATTGATTAAAGAAGGGTGGCCAGGTGTTCTGCTTTATAGAGGACAGTCCTCTATTTGAAGAGGTGTTGGGTCCAAGTCTGGAGTAAAGTCAGAGAGCCATAAGAAGCAGGAAAAGAGCAAGACTGCTGCCTGTCAACAGTTAGGACCTGGCCAGCAGACTGAGCAGCCACACAGCTTGCCTCATCAGTTTTCTTCACTATGGAAAGATACGTTACATTTAAATTATACTTATTATTTCTACATTTGCACTTACAAATGCAATTTAAGCATGCAAATGTTAAGCACATGTAAGTGTCTTCTTTTGTCATTGTTTTTGGTGATGCATTCCTTCTTTTTGGCAACATTGAAATAGACACCTTAAGTTGAACAAAGTTCTGTTAGGTTCAAAGGATATGTTCCAAATCAGCTTTTTGTAATTAGCCCAGGGGCTGCTCATCTGTCTGTATACATACTCAGTTGAAACTAAATTGTAGATGTGGTAATCACAGTTTTTTCCCCACAGGCCTCCTTTTTGCCTAGCCCTGCTTTTGCTCCTGCAAGAGTTACCCTGCCAGATGATGTACATCATGTAGGTTTGTAAGCAGTGGAAGGAAGGCAACTCATGGGGGTTGTGGGGGAAGTGACTGTAGAATGAGAGTGTCAAGGGAAAAAGGTAAGTGGGGATTTGTTAAAAAACACCCTTTTCCTACCACTTCTTTGCAAATTGCATGTTGCAATGCAACAGCATAGCACATTGGGCTGAGAGGCATTTGCCTGGGGATGCTTTGCAGCAGGTAAATGCCTCTCAGACCAATGTGTTATGCTGTTGCATTATAACATGCAGTTGGACCCATAGTTGCTGAGTTTCCCCATGTGAAATTATTGCTGTTGCTCTTATTATTGATGGGGGGTTGTTTTTGTTTTCTGTGGTAACTTATTAGATCTGTATTTTATAGTCTGATTGTTGCAGGATATATATTTTGTTATTAAGGTTTGTACATTTCCTCAGGCACCTTTGGGCAGAGTGTGATTGATAAATACAATAAATGCATGAACAAGTGAATGCATGAATAAATCTGAGGTGGTACAGACAGACTTACGTAAAAGGGATTTTATCAGGGCTGATTAAAATGTGCAGCAGTACATGATGCAGTCAATCAGTGCTGATTTTCACCATGTGTACATCTTGTAACTTTTTCCTTATGGTCAAAACTCCAGCATAAATTCCGCATTGCCAAAGCATCACCTAGACTAGAGGCACATCGTGCAGTTATTGAAACCTCTGTTTTTTTCCAGATTTGAGTGATCAACAATCACTCCTCACAAACCGGCATGGGTTATTCTGTTTATAAGCAGTGACAGATTCCAGGAAAATGCAAAGCTGCTGGGTTTGGAGTTCTTACACTGATGGTAACTTATCATGTCATTGAGCCTTTTTAGCACCAGAGACATCACTCTGGCCTCATAATCCCTTCAGAGAATTCCTTCAACAAATATAGAAAACTGTCCATCATAAGTGTGGGAGGAGGGAATCGCCTCTCTCAAACTGTTTACAAGCCAAGAATAGAATATAATGAAAAAAGCACTTCCCATAACTAAAAGGATGGCATGTTTTCTTCTCTGAATATGATGCTATGAACGCAGCGTCCGACTCACTCGTCCTTTTCCGGGTGTCTCTTGTTCATGTGAAAGTCAGTTATGATGATACAGTGCGGCATCTTTATGGACAGCTGTCGTGTTCAGCACTGGACAGACAGAATGGCTAGCATTGCTGGGCTATTTAGTCATTGTGAATGGAATGAAGCTCTTGTATTTCATACTGATTCACACAGGCAGTGTGGTTACACCGCAAGACTTCACCCTCTTCTCCCCCAGCCCCTTACCCATTCCTATCCTTGACATCAGATCTGGCTGCTTAACATGTCTGGAATGTGAAAGCACCTATCTCAGAGCTGGCGGGGCTCAGGGTGTGCTTGAATTCCCAGGTTGGAAGATTATCTCACTCAGAAGAATTTCTTGCAGAGATATATAAGCTAAACTAGATTGGGCTATCTCAGTAAAGCTGCCTTGAGTAGTGGGTTGCATCCTCACTTAAAGGAGTACCACACAGCACTGATCATTTTTCAATAAGCTGACAGCAACAATGATGATGCTAAGAGTAGAAGAGCTGGTATGTATAAACTTTGTGTACTACAAAGCTGCCTTTTGTAATTACTGTTATTCTGAGCTCTGCATTGTATTTAGTTAAATAATGCATAGGTATCACATCCTTTTAGAACTTGCTTCTGTATTCTGTGAATTGTATCATTTAAGAGAAGTTGGGCTGTTTCCCTTGGCTGGCATTTAAACCCATGTGGGAATGCTTGTATTGGTGAGCCTGTGTGGCAGTTAAGAATGTGCTGAAAATCTACAATTCAGATCTCAGCTCTGCTTTGAACTTGCCTGGTGGCCCTAGGCAAGCTGCTATCTCATAACTTTAATCTGTGATGTTATGAGAATAATAATGGCCTACCTTGTAGAGCTGTTGTAAGGTTTACTGAAATGATTTTAGCTGTGCAGGACAAATGCAAATACCAAACATGACTACTGAAGAAAATGATCTAACTTTGGGATACCATAAATATAAGTGGATGAGTATATTTATGCACAGACACATCATTCTGTAGTTTACTCTATAAACTACTCTGTGTGACATTACAAAGGGGATTGTTCCTAACTTAATAGAGTCAAAGGAATCTGGCTTTTATCTGCCAAGTTTTTGTCTGAGACCTTCAAGGCAGCTCACAACTTAACTAAAGAAAGAACACAGATGGATTCACTGCTACTTGTCTGATATATCACACACCATTCAACTCAGTTGTATCTGAATGAGTATCTACGGAAGGAAACCTGTGAAAGTATTTCCAGCTATGTTTACACTTTGCCTGGCATGCAAGCTGGACTCAGAAGTAATTAGGAGCAATTCCAATTGAGGTAATAAAGAATCTGAAAGAAGGGTTGAGTGACCAGACTTAGTTCTCTTTTTCTCACCTCTAATGTTTATGACTGAATTATTAATAGCAGGAATTAGCAATGAGGGAAACAAAGGAGGCTTTGAAATGATTGCTGTGGAGCGCATTCCCTGCAGTTGCTGTAGCATCATCCGGGAGGCCCTCACATTCTGAGAAGAAGCGAGACCTTTACTGATTTCATGAGTTTACTAGAGGGTTAGACCATGAAGCTGTTCTCGAAAATCAGTCAGGATGATTGATTCTTGGCTATAGGATATGGAGTCAATGAAAATGGATTATGGTACAATTCTAGATACTTACCTATGAGTAAGGATGCCTCTAGACGAAGGACTATTCATACTACCAATTCAAAGGAACTGTGCAGCCGTTTTCTTCCTCAACAGAGGTGGTTTCTTTCTTTCTTTTGCAAACAGTTTAAAAAACACCCTAGAAGAAGCAGTGGGTAAACATGGGAGGGTTCCAAATGGAAGATAACATCCAGGCTTCTGTAAATTTTTGTGAATGAGGCAAGCTAATCACTTAATGAAAGTCTTTCGGGGAGCGCTCTAGGCCTCAAGTGTGATTTATTTATGAGAAGACATGCATAGGATTGTGCAGTAAAATTTGGATCCGAAAAGGGTTTGAATAAGTCCTTCAGAAAATGTGGACTTCTGCCAAGTAAATAACATCAGTTACTTCTGACTAAGTAGTTTGTGAATGAGGCAGACATAAAAATAACCTGGATTCACAGGGCCACAGAATTCGTTTGGTCCACTCACAGCACAGACCCTTCAGAATTGTGCTTCTTAACAGGAGGCTCCCACCCCACATCAAGGTTGTCCCCTATTTTCCGGGGGACAATTCTCTCCCTTAGGGAGCTGGTAGTTCCCTATTGGATTATTTCTGTTTTTAGAGATGTCTTGTCCAAGTTTGGCTTACAGTCAAAGAACCACAAGGAGGGAGAGTAGCAGAATCCTTGAAGGTCACCTAGTTGGTCCTCTTCATTATGGTGAAATGCATTTTATTTCCTTTACATTCTAGTTATTATTTCCAAATTTGTACCAGAACATATAAATCTGTATAAGCTTCTGTTATGCAAATTGGACTGTCTTTTTTGTTAGTGATGCATATTCTCTTTTTGGTAAGTTTTAGGTTGCATGCACTGTCTCAAGCCCTTCACTCCACCTCTTGACAGCTTCCTTCTCATTCCTATCTTCTCGCACGCTCTCCATCTCTCACAGGGCAGAGCTCATCTTGTCCTTCAGTGCTGTTTCCACTCATCTCTTCCTGCTGTTGCCTTATTTTGTTGGGCCCTTTTCTCAAGCTGTAGTCTTCCCCCTCTGCTTCATGCTCCTCTTTCTCAGTCCATTGCCTACTCTGCACCCTTTCTTCAGTCTCCCTGCCACCAAACTTAGCTCTCCTACCTAAAGACTTCTTGTCAATCCTCATCCTTCCCCTCAAAGCTGGCTCTGGGGCCAGTGTGAGGTTTTAAAATTGAACTGACAGCCTACCTTTACTTCCCAGGAGCTGTGTTGTGTTTTACAGCACTGAGAATATAGTGGACAATACTCTCTGCTGAACTCATATCTCAACTCACCCATATTTTTTTCAGCACCCTCACTGTCTATACTGACTCTGTGTTGGCTATTTGTTTCACTTCCATTTTCTAACAGCTTCTTGTGGGCTGTAGGCCCTCTCTCTTAATACAATTTTGCCTCTTCTGTCAGGACACAAGGCTTTGGAACTCTCTGATTCTAAGGCACCATGTTTCCTTTGATAGGTGACAGGCAAAAAGGCAGATGAGACAGGTGATTTCCTGCCAGAGGACTTCAAAAGTGAAGAGTATGAAGCTGCTGTGAGGTTGGAGAAACAGGAAGATCTGAAGACACTCACAGACCCTTTGTTGACACGTCGCAATCTGACCTATGAAGAGGAGAAGGCTCTCCAAGCGGAGGTAATTTTTTATTTCTTGTGTCCTTCCTTGTTCTTCTGTGGCTCTGTCATTGTGGAATTGGTGCTCAAAGTAAGGGGCATCAGAAGGAATTTCAGGAACACATGAAAACTGAAGTGACAGCTGGGTTCTGATGCAAATCAAAGGAAAGATTCCCAATTACTTATGGGGTCAGTCCCATTACATTGCCAGGTTGCTCATAAGACTCATGCTGACATAGCCTAATTATAACTTGAGAACCAGGAATTAAAGTCTTAAAGGAAATTAGAAAGGCTGGGCTGGTAATGCACATACTTTGTGTACATGGTATTATAAATTATATTCCAAAGTATCTCCAGTTACAGATACCTCAAGCTGCAGCATTGGGCAAATTTTAGTTCTGGGTATCTGAAAAATACTGATCATAGTTTAAAGTACTGGCTAGCTGTACTGTTGGTGAGAGCCACAAGACCTTTAATGCTTAAAGCAAAATAGCCAAATAGTAGTTTCCTGACAATCGCTTGGCCCCCAACTAATAGTTATACAAAGATAAATTCCTGTTTATGAATGATACCTAACAAACTCCTGCTCAGGCAAGGGCTGCTCTTGGTTTGCAAAAAGCAGTTTTTTATGTTTTCTGTCTAATCTTTGTTCCCAGTACAGAACTCAGCAGGGCAGCTACCCAAACTACCCAAACTGCATTACCCATATGGACCAATTCTTCAGCTAGGTGCAGGAGTGATGATCCAAAAAGGCATATAACCCAGGCTACTTCTGGGTCTATTGTAAGGCAGTTTCCTTTGACAGGTGGCAGGCCAAAATACTATGGCTTGAGCCAAATTATATGTTTTCCCAGCCACATAACAGTGAAAATCAAGACCAGCCTCTCTCCATTTTGCATTTGTGCTGCCCTTGTGCAACAAGAGGGAATCTGGCACACTTCGTGTAAGCTCCAATAAGGGCAGTTGAAGCCAAAATTCTCACACAGTGAACTGGCAGGAAAACACTAGACTAGAACAAAGGTAAAGAACGCTAAGTGAAAACTGCTCCTGTGGGGAAGAAAGGACACTCAGCGAAGACCTTCCTCCATTTACAAACCCAACACAGCTTAGCAAAATAGCCTTCCAGAAAAATGGTTAGTACAGCAACTAAAAGTTCATGGCTCTGGTTGTTGTGACAGAGGATGCTCAGTAATATTACAGTAGTGAAACCTATAGGTGATTTGCTACAGGGGCTCTGTGAAATTTATGTGCAAGGTTAACACACATTGGCCTGCACTCTGCTCTTTCAGTTGCAAGCTCTATGGTTTATTCTGATATAGTCATAACATTCTAGGCAAAGTTACAGTCCATCTAGTGAAGATCTAATTCTGCATAACTGGAGCCTGTGTCAATGAATAGCTGCAACTCGGAGGTTACAAACTACCTCACTGATTAAACAAAGTTCTGTGCAATCCAGCTTCCCCAACCTGCTGCTCTTCAGGTGTTTTGGACTACACCTCCCATCATCCCTGACCACTGGCCATATGGAGTTTCTCCAAACATTCTGATCAGTCTCCTAAGTGGCCCTGTTTTGACTCCAGTCCTGTTGGCGCTCACCAATGAGTCTGCTATTAGAGGGAGCAATGTTAGCTAATAGCCACTGATAGATACATCTGTCATGATGATTGGACTGGCAGTTGAGGACAGATGTATGATCTTTCTCGCTCCTCAAATGCCTCTGTAGTTATATCAGCACAAGCCAAAATATGTACCACTCACAGATAATTAGATCTATAGGTTCAAAGCTGCATCCCCAGGCCAGTGACCAACTGGCACCAGCTGTCCAAAGTCTCAGGGCATATGTATTTCCCTTTAATTGGAGATTCTTGGATTCAAACTGAGACCTTCCACTTGTAAAGCATGTTACTCCTGAGTTATGACCCCTTATTTGCCAAGCATATTTTGTGATACAATTATCTGAGCTTTCCCAACAGTAAAACATGTTTTTTCTTTTAGTGTTTCATTTACAAAATACAATCATTTGCAACTCTTCAGTGCAGTGCCCAACATTTCAAACATCTCAACACCTTTGATTATTTTGCTTGGTATCTTGGGTAGGAATAGAAGCAAAATTCTGCCATCCTTTCCCCAAAGATATGTGAAAATAAAGACATTTAGTAACATCTAAATCCACAGAATTTGCCTTTGAAGTAACAGATTACCATGAGCTAGTAAAATAGCATTTTAGAGCTGCACTGGTGATGGATTATTCAAATGATGAATTAAAATGCAGTGCTGAATTTAAGAATGATCCAAATTTGACATAGATTTTCAAAGGTTTGGGATCAACCACTTTTCCTTCACGTTCAACACACTTTCAGTGATGTTTGTAATAAAGGTGCATCTTGAAACTACTTGATGAAAAGTATGGATGTGTAAATCACCAAACCTGAACTCATCAAGGTTCCCCAAACTCTACTGTAAAGCTCATTCTGACTCACAATCTGATACAGATTGATGGTGGGGGGGGGGGGGGGATTGTTTCTTTTTAAACAAAAATTCATATTTATTTTTGGTCACATTTTCCCAAATTAAGAGCCAGTGTGAGATCTGTGTTCTCAGTGATGAAGCTCACTGGATAATTTTAGGCCAGTCACTGATTCACAGCCTAACCTACCTCACAAGGTTATTGTGTAGATTAAATGGAGAGAAAGAAGAGGACCACTGCTATAAATAAGTTGAATGCATCAAGTGTGTGCAATTTATGTTCACATTTTTCCTCTTTGACTGAATCATATTTGTGTGCACTTCTCAAAAGTATGCATTTTAATGCATTTGTTCTTGTTCCAAAAATCACATCACAAATGGGGAGACCTCAACTGCAGAATGTATTCATTAGGTTCTAGGAGGTACTTACTCAGCTAATTCTGGTCGAAAGCAGCTAAAATTATGTATACCTACCCATCAAGAATATCTTTTGAAAGAAGGAAAGGAAAGGAAAGGAAATCTGCCAATGCAGATTCTTTCACTAACACTCATGCTCATTAGCACTTTTATCACAGTCTGTTGAGCTGCTACATTGCATGAAAGATTTAGGCTGTGCTTTCAGTTTAAACAGACACACATTCCTAAACAGCGCTAACTAGAAAGAATCCTAATGAACAGATAACTCTTTGCTTTATGTGCAGACTATTCTTTAATCATTTATGTGTTATTGTGAACCACCCAGGCAACTCTGGCTATTTGGGTAATATAGAAAAGAATTAATTACTCTAACAGTTGAAAGATCGTAGCATATTTCAATAGAATTTCAGGTGGTGCATCCACTTTTAACAGGGATTAGATCCTTTCATTCAACACCCTAGATAACAGACAATGGTCCAGTTCAGATGACCACCTAAAATGTAGATCTTAAATCATTGTTTAGGGAACAGGGAATGAGTTAGAGAGAAGTCTGAAAATTTCCGCTTCTACTTAAAACAGAGCTTCAGTTCCATGTTGTGTCCAGATCTGACATAACATTTGACACTGGTCCTTAACTTGCTCAAGCAGAACTGGGAGAATGTGTGGCCCAACAGATGTTGTTGGAATACAACTTCCATTGACCTGTAGCCAGGGTAGTTAATAGTGACAGAAGATGAGAGCTGCAACCCAGGAAGTTCTCAAAGGTCACACATTTGCCATCTTTGTGTCAACGGGAGCCTAAAGGATTCCCAAGAGTCGTGTATTAAAGCTGATGTTATTGAGCTTCTTATTACCCTAATTTCCAGCCTGTCAGTTGTTTGAAACCACCTTATTTTTTCTTTCTTTCATGCTTTCATTCAGCTCAAGAAAAAGAAGTTAGAGGAAAGATCAAAACTTGAAAACTTAGAAGATCTTGAAAAAATCATTCAGCTAAAGAAAAGGAAAAAAATCAAGAAGGTTAAAGTGCCTGTTTTGAAAGATCCTGAGCAAGAAGTTGTAGTAAGTTCTGTGACAAAATATATTATTTTCTTCAGTTTTATGGGATTTCCCCTGCAACTATATCTAACACATATTTCTTCCTGTATCAGACGGAGCCTGTGGATGTCCCTACATTTTTAAGGGCTGCCTTGGAGAACAAGATGCCAATAATTGAAAAATATTTAGCAGACAAAGGAGATCCAGATGCTTGTGATGAGGTATATTGATTTCTATACCAAACCTACACTAAGGCACAGCTACTTTTATTGGTCTGATCCTTGTTTAACTGTCATGCTTTTCCCCAGAGAATTCTATGAGTTTTTTGTGTGATGTTTTAAAGGTTGCCTTTTCAAAGACTCTGAAGCTCCTATTCCTACTACAATTTCCAATTTTTTCACTGATTGTCAAACCACATTTTACTGTAGGTGTGCTGCACCCTTAGAAGTGTGTGTGTGTGTATAATAAACTAAGAAAACCCCTCAGCTTTTATAGCTTGCATTTATACTTTTCAGAGTTTTATACTCTAAGATACTACAGCATTCATTGCATCTTTAAATGGAACTTCTGCAATATTTTCACTTTTACTGATCTTTCTTAAATGTATATACCTCCCAACTGATACATGCCCTCAGGATGGTTTACAGTCATAAAATCTCCAAACAATGGTACAATAACAACCAATGCAATAATATAACTACCTATTCAAAAATATTCATATACAAGTAGACCCCAGGTTACAAACAACCTGTACATTTGAACACACGGATGGCCATAAACCCTATATAAATATATCTAAAGAAAAGCCATGAGTATCTTTAGAGAGCTACGCAACATAGTCACAGAGTTTCTTTAGAGATATTCACAGCTTTTTGCTAGAGATAAGAAATTACCTAGAGATGGTCCTGGATATCTCTAGCGAACAACGCAATGCTTTTGGCAATATTTTTGGCAGTCATCAGTGGCAGCCTAGTATTCATGGCTTTTCATTCTGGGTGTCAGCTTGAGCATACCCAAGCTAGTGTGTTTCAGGGCACATGTAGGGTATATAGTTTCCCTTTGTTTTTTTCTTTAGCATTTGCCCTTGTAAACAGCCCCTCAGCTGGTACAAGGCCATTTTGTCATGAAAAAAAGAAAATGGCAACCCTTGATGCCTACTTCAAGAAAGCAACTGCAGTGGTAACACCCCCTCCACTCCAGCAGCATAATCAAACCTGGACTCTCCAGCGCTGGGTCCATCTCCATCATCATCAGTTAATGTTAGGCTTAATGTTACCTCAAGAATGTTCTAAACTGTTTTAAGAACTGTTTCTTTTGTTTGGTTTTTTGCCCACACACCTGCACACACACTTACAGATTATCTCTCTCTCTCTTCAATCCCTGTAGTTACTTTATTACTGTATTAGTATCATTATTACAATGCTGTATTGTGTTTAAGATGTTTTTAATAACTATGAAAGTGTGTCTTAAGTATTTTATATGCAGAAAAAGGTAAAATATATACATAAGCTAAGACAAACATTTGGCTAACTCATGTGATTCAACTTAAATACAAATTCAGTTTAAGGACATTCTCAGGAACAGAACTTGCCCATAACCTGGGAACTACCTATATTAAAAACATTTAAGCTGCAATGTCATGTTTTGATAGGAAAAAAGCATGTAACTCTCAGCCAGAGCCAGCTACAAAAAACAAACATAAGACAGGTAGAAATGTAGAAAACAACACATGGAAGGGAGAATTCTAAAATTGTTCCCCTGATGTGTCAAGGTTTCAGCTGCATGGAAGGCTCTTACATGTGGAGAAGGATCTAGATTGGAGAGTCCACCCTTGTAACCTGAAATTGAATATAACCTGGAAAAGTGCACCAACAGACCATTGGCTCCTTCTGAGGGTCAGGCCTGTTTTATATCCAATGTATCAACACACAGTTGCACATTTCCATTAATAAATTGTGTTTTACAATAAGGACTAAATAATAATGGCTGCAAGTACAGAAACTTTTTCTGCATGTATAGAATCTAGAGCATGATGTCCTAGTGATTCCATTGAAAGAAATGTACACTGATCACTATTTTTTTCCTTAACTGGAATTAATTGGACTTTCAAAAGAATGCTGTTCTATGGCTTCATCATGCTTCTAGAGTATCTTCTTTTTCTTTTTAAAGCCCTTCTACTCCCATGCAGCATCCTACATAAAATAGTATTGTAAGATACATGAGTTGGGAATTCAAGCAACTCAGAACACATCTATCTGCAATGGCCATAACTGTAGATATGACTCACAAATTCAGCCAAAAAGAAAAAGGAGGCAAGCTGGCTAGCAAGAACTCACATCTCATAGGTCACTAGTTTTAAAATCACATTTTAGGGGTCATAGTACAAGCATATGAAACTAAGGGACCACAAAGCACTTAGGGTGGCCTCTTATATGGCACCAAGTTAGAGGAAATGCAACAACTAGAGAAAACACTAATTTGCATAATATTTACATATGATAATTTGCACATAGAGACATAAATTAGTATGTCTTGTCCATTTTATCCATCACCTCAGGCAGGAAATTGTCTCAGCCCACCCCTGACTTTGAATATTCAACATGTATTATATAAATGCTAAATAGAATTTGGTACCTTATAATGCAGTGAAAATGGAGAAGCCTGAAAATGACCTTTTGACACATTTTAATATCTGTTCTATGAGAAATAAGCAAGATCGTTATTTACTACTGTATTACTGTTCCCATTTATAGTATAGGCGCACAGCCTTGCATAGAGCATGCTCAGAAGGACATCTGGCAGTTGTGGAAAAGTTGGTAGAAGCTGGAGCCCATCTTGAATTCCAAGATATGGTAAGTCCACAGCAGATGTATGTGTTTTATGCATGCACAAGCATGCACACACAGAGAGTGTTTGGGAAGCTGGTTCACATGTCTCTTTCATTCAGTGTAGTAGCAGGTGATGCTCTGCTTGTGAAAGAAAACTTGGTCAAGTTGCTCTCACAGGACTTTTCAGTAGGCATAATTGACACATTTGATTGAAATCAAGTCTTGTGTAATCAAGTGCACTGTACAAGCAACAGAAAGCTTGCTGGATTCTGAATGCGGGAAGAGCCACTACCACAGTGCAGAACTGACCAGGTTATGAACAGTTACAAAAAGGGTCCTTGAATAGGGCTGGGATAGTATACAATCCCCCTTTCCCATACCTTTCCCAGCATATTTGTTACCTCTCTAGCAACTCCTACAGCAGCCTAAGTACATGGTTTGGCCTTCCTGGTCCTTGCAGTGAAGCATGCCTCAGGAAGCCCAACCACATGAGCTCATGTTCTTATATGTAGATAGTTCAGTATGAGAGCCACTGCTGGGAGAACAAAAATTACATCAGGAAGGATACATGGAAAACAGGTCTGCAGTTGCGCCAGGGTGACTTTTAAAGCGAGCAGGGACTGCAGCTTATCAGCAAAGAACGAGCTGTGTGTGCAGCTTATTTTCAGGGTCAATCATGTTGAAAACATCGAGTATGGGATGTGATGGGAATGACCTCTAGAGAGTTGCTGCCAGTCAGAGTAGATAGTGCTGGGGGTAGATGGGCAAATATATACGATCTGAAATTATGCTGTTTTCTGGTTTCCTACATAAACATGAATTAGACTAGCCTTGGTCACTAGGAACTAGTGTTTAAACCCAGGAGTTGCCAAAGATACCATTATTATTTGGTCCATAACTCATTGCTGAAGTCCTTGTAATGGATCCAAGAGCTCTTCCCAAGTGTCTTCAGTTAAAAATAACTTATCTAGCACCACAGGGCAAGAACCTTTGTCTGGCCAAGACTCTAAATGTCCTGTCAGTCACAAAGGAGTAGTAGGAAAGATGGGCCAATATTCCCACTTTTAAAAGGCATTTTTGTAGTTTCATTGTTATAAGAACATAAAAAGAGCCTTACCAGAGCAGACCAGTTCACACAAGTGCTATCTAGCTGCCCACAGGAAATCCACAACTGGGAGATGAACAGCACCCATCTGCCCAAGCTCCTCAGCAACAGGTGTACATAACCATACTGCCTCCAGTGCTTGAGCTAGCATGTCTCCATCAGGGCCAGTAACCATTTATAGCCTTATCCACCATGATGTTGTTCATTAGTTATTTTAATCTCAAGTTGCCCTTTTCCTTCTGGTACAGCTTGAATCAACAGCTATTCATTGGACATGTCGTGGGGGCAATGTGGAAGTCCTGAAATACCTGCTAAACAAAGGAATAAACAGAAATGCTAGAGACAAGGTATTTTATGTTTGTTTGTAACAGGCTTAGATTTTTTGAGGGGTGGGTGGAATTAAAAATATATTTAAATGGAAGACATTTGTTTGAGATCCAAGTCTATTACTTGCAGTTTGTACTGTCACAATGTCTAACAGCAGTTTATCTAACTATTGGGAGTGTAACATGGCTGATGCTTGACTTACTTTGGCAGTGTCCAGTGGTTGCTTTTTGGGTACAGGTTATAGTATGGCTAAACTTAGTATCAGAATGCTTCTTCATACTTACTGATGCACTCATGCATTCATTCTTTTAAACGTACGTGTATGGAACTTATCATACAGACAAGATAAGGGGATTGTCCATGCCTAAGTGACTTGTATTACAATACTGAAAAGTAAACATCCATCTCTTATAATGATGGCCCTTTCAATTTGAATGGGCACTATTAAGATGCCACCTATGGATGCCACCTATGAATAATACATATTTGGTCTACCTTTTCTGAAGGTTATACATACTTTTTATTGATAATTTGAATGATTACATATTTACATATACATATGGATACACATTTCATGCCCACCTATTGTGACTAAATTTTATAAGAGAACTGAATTTTCTTCTTTCATATGGTTTTGTTTTGGTGAAATTCACATTAAAATACAAAAAATGTAATATTTGTCTTATGCTGATTATGTTTCTTTCTGTTACTTGCTTTTTCCTAGTTGCTCAGCAGTCCTTTACATGTGGCAGTAAGGACAGGACAGTATGACTGTGGGGAGCACCTCATTGCCTGTGAAGCAGATCTCAGTGCCAAAGACAGAGTAAGAGCATTCCTGATTTACCTCACTAGGGCAGCTCACACAGAGCAGGTTTAAGGAAGCTAGGACTTACCAGATATTGCTGGACTCCAATGCACATCACTTCCAGCAAGCATGGCTAAGCAGGTGCATTAGAAGCTCAACCAGGCACACTTTCTCCCAGCCACTGATTGCTTAGTGGTTTCCTGGCTTCTATGTTTTTCTTCCATTCTAGGAGATGGATTTGCTTAGTTACTGGTATAATTGATATAATTCATGAAGTACTTTCAACATGATCTCTGAATAGCCCATTATATTCATTTCATTTTCCCATTCTAGGAGGGTGATACTCCTATGCATGACGCAGTGAGGCTGAATCGCTATAAAATGATTCGACTCTTGATCCTCTATGGTGCCGACCTAAATATAAAGAATGCTGTAAGTAGTGGATAACTCAATTTACCTTTTTGCATCAACAAAAATAAGCAAACTGATGAAAAGGGCAAAAACACACCTTAAGGGTTTGTGTGCTGGATGTTTATCATGCTCATGAACTACATTTAAAGATGGCCGGCACTCTAAAAGTCAGAAAAATCTGCTAACTGAATTTATCTGTCACTTCCAAGAGCCATGACAAGACTACCACCAGAGGAAGGTAGCCAAATCTAGGAGAGGTAGGAGTACAAAGTAAACTAATCTAAAAACATAAGGACATAAAAGTTGTGCTGGTCCATCTAGCCCAGCATTATGTTCATGCAATGGCCAATTAGCTGTTGGCAGGATCCCTCAGGCAGGCTATGAATGTAACACCACCCAAGTACTGCCCAAGTACTCCAGCAACTGGTATACGTAGGCATCACTGTCTCTGATACTGGAGGTAGCATATAACCATCAGGACTGGTAGCCATCATTAGCCTTCTCATGAATTTCTCCAACCTCTTTTAAGGCTGTCCAAATTGGTGGCTGTCAGTACTTGTGAGGAAGTGAATTCCACAATTTGACTATGCTGTGAAAAATACTTCCTTTGATCATCCTGAAGTTCCCACTAAGGAGACTAGTGGGATAACACCAGGTTCTAGTATTACAGAAGAGGAAGAAAAATGTCTCCCTATCCACTTTGTCCACACCATGCATAATTTTGCATATCTCTGTCTAATTTCCCTAACTTTTCTTCACAGGAAGGGAAAACTCCAATGGATCTTGTGCTCCAATGGCAAAATGGCACCAAAGAAATATTCAACAGCCTAAAGGAGAACTCATACAAGAGCACCCCTATAGACACATTTTGAAAACTAAACTCAAAACTTCTGCGGACTTACAGCTACTTAGCAAAAATGACACTACTATCAATGCAAAGAGCAGTACCATTATACAGGAAAGGAAATCTTCATCAATGTCATCTTCACTGAATGAAGAAGGAGTGTGTTTCACTGCCTTTGTTAGTGCCTCATGGAACAAGAATGGGTACAAAATACTTCAAAGGCATGGCTTGAGTGTTAAGAGTCAACTGATTTCAAGTTGCTTTATTTATTCCTATTTATTTTTTGGATTCCATATTTCCCCTTTTCTTGGATAGCATTTCTTTGGCTATTTTCCTTTGCTGATCTTTTCAATAAGTCATGTTGATAGCGCTGTGACAGAGAGAGCTTGAGTTACTGATGCGGTAATCTGAATCAGCCAGGAGCACTAAGCTTCTTTTTATACAAGACAACAGCGTTGCAGAACATATTAGCAGCTTCCCATCAAGCTCTTTTTCAATGGGGAGTTATTTGTAACCGTCAGCCAGTTTCTGCTGAATTGCCATTGTCAGAGTAAGCTGTGAAAAGCAAAAAGCAGAGGTTGGAAAATAGAGGTAAGAAAGGGGAAAGTAAAGTGGAATTAAAAAAAAGAGCAGTATGCTCTTCTACTACGATCCACTAGAAGTGGCGGATGAGTTTTAACCCAGTGTTTGTGGGAACTAAACTTCAGAGTTCAAAACAAGGAAGGGATGCAGATTAAGGGGATAGGCACAAGAAAGGCAGTGCTGTTTTCTAAGCTTGATCATGGAAGGAAGGTGATGTATATTTGTATGGCTTTTTATGTACACTTTGTATCAAAACATGTTTAAGACTTAAACAACAGAATGGCTCTTTTTCAATTTACATTCATTTGTTATTATGTCAGGGGTGTACAGCAGGGGTGCATGGACTACCCTGGACATCCTGTGTGGTCCACACATCCCCTATTGTTGTTCTTGAATTGGCTGCAGTGGCAACTGCAAAACAGCAGTGATTTATTGCTGAAATTTGTTTGTATATCAAAGGCAAAACAGCAAACTGCTGAAAGCCAGTGTCGTGTAGTAGTTAGAGTGCTGGACCCAGGAGATCCAGGTTCCTGCCCTCACTTGGCCATGGAGCTTACTGGGTGGCTTTGGGCCAGTCACAGACCCTCAGTCCAATCTACCTCACAGAACTGCTGTTGTGAGAATAAAATGGAGTGGATAAGGACAAGGTAAGCCACCTTGGACTACTCACAAGAGAGAAAAAACTGGGATATGAATGCAATGCAATGGTGTTTGTCCTCCCTTGCATCATTGGTATGGCAGTAGGGGACAGAGTTGTACCCATCCCCATTCTAGAAGGGGGAAAATTGGCTTCTAGACCCCCAAATGTTGCTCAGTCCTGATTTGTCTGAATCTGACACATGGGGTGCAAAAGTGGGATGAAATGTTTAATAAGCCCCAAAGAAAACCATTTCCAATTTCCTTGTTAGCAGGTGCTTTGAAAATTATGAACTGGGGTACAGAATGTGAGGCTGGAAACAATCTTTAAAGGTCACATTTTTCAATAGTCTGACATGAGATAAGGTGACCACATCCTTAAAGAACTGCCAATTGTGTCTGGCTGAGCTCTCAATTCTATGATCTTCAACTGTTACCTCACACACAGTTTTATAACTGATAAAGCATAAATAATTTTAGTCAAATTAAAGGAGGAAAGTTGGTGATGAAGGGAAGGGAAAAAAGACAAAGAGAGTGATAATGTAAACAACTTTTAAGCATGCTTAATTTATTCAGGGAGAAAAAAAAAATCAAAGCTAAGCCATGCCAGTTCTGCCACATCTGAGGCAACCTTTCAGGTTATGTACATCAGCTGCAAAATAAATCTGAAATATTTTTGAAGCTGCAACTGCAAACCCGAAGCCACTTTAAGTCGCAAGCAAGCCTGATAATGTTTATCATCACTCCTGCTGATGTTTTAATGGTTTCAGGGCTACCGACTACAAACAGCATTTCCTATCAATGTCCACACATCAGCAACCCTTCAGGACACAGCCTGACCACCACACAAAACCCTCAGCAGCATTTTGCCAGCTTGTTAGCAGGGTCTAATTAGCACTGACAACAGTGCAACCCATTTGCTGGAAACAATGCAATGTGCTGAACAGGTATGAAGTGGGGGGTAGATGTTAAAGTGAAACAGTAGGAGCAAAGGGCTACAGAAGCCTCCAATCCAAAAATACAGTCTTCCCTGCCTTTCCGGTCTTGGAAACTAGATGGAAGAAGATTTGTGTCTGCCTGCCTGCCTGCCACCCATCCTTTGAATGAAATTGTCTCTCCACCCACACTTTTTTTTTCTCAAACACAAGTCTGCCACCATTGCATCTAGTTAGATCCTCAATGTAACACTAAAAAGAAAAGCTTTAGGGGCATTCACAGAGAGGTGAGGATGCCAGTTACAATCAGCTTTAGGAAACTATGAAGATAAGGGAAGATGGTCACATGGCAGAACACACTTTCTCGGATAATGAGACAAAGGGCAGACTAGCTTTAGTTCACAGATTCCTGTTAAAATGAAGGCGACTGCTCACACTTCAGCTAGAGGGCTGATAAGCTGCACCCTGTTCATGGAAACTACAGCTTCTCACTAAGCTGCCCTCAAAGCATGTAACAGCTGTCCGAGTCCCCTGTCTCTTCTCACACAAAAGCTGGTATGTAAAACCTTTATAAGGCAGTTGCAGTTACTGCTACAGAGTACAGTGCTCCTAGTACAAGTAACACAGACACTCTGGAAGGTCAGTTTTCTCTTCTGAAGCTCTGGGTAGAAAACTGCTAGCAACATAAAGCAACCTAGGCTCTCCCCGCTATGGGTACAATTTCCTCACATGGGTGCAAACTATAGGATGCATGTACAGTCCTGCTGCCCAGAGCTCAAATTAGCCCTACAATTCTATTCAGGAAATTCCTGCAAGCATTTGTGTGTGCATTAAGAATCTGATAAAAAGGTGTTAGCCCAGGTTACAGCCCAGCTAAATGAATGTCCATCTCTAGGAACATTTTGAAGCTGGGAGGGGGTAACAAGACATAAAGGTAGTCTTCAGTAAAATGTCTGCATTACAGAAAGGACTGCAACTATATACACAATATTTCTTGACTGAAAAGTTTATGTTAACACCCTCTGTTGGGAAGCTGAGAAGCAGGATCTCTGCCTCCACCCACAAAGTCACACAACATTTTCTGCAGTCGCCGATGTCCGCCACCAAGATGTGTCACATAACTCTATTGTGGCTTAACCATTATGAATACTCATCTCTTCATGTAAGCATAATCATGCTATATCCTCTTCTTTTTAAGTGTGGCAGTATGGAGGTGTGGGTGGGTTGCTAGGTGCTCCACAGAAGAATCATCTGGTCACAAAGCTGTCTTGGCTTTTTTGCTGGCTGGAGTGGAATCATCTTCTTCTGGGGTTCGAGGTTTCTTCTTTGTGTATACCACTCCAGAGGCAGTCTTCCGGGTTTCTGAATTTAAACAAGGAAGGAATTTAAGATGAATCAAGCACATAAGCTGATGTGCTTGCAAACGACACCTAAAACAAAGTACAGTTAGATACGACCTGCAAGGACTTGAGCCATCACATGCTGTCCAGCAGAAGCTGAGCCACGGAGACCACACTTGTGGGAAGTGAGATACTACAGTGGCAACAGCTGCCATCACCAGGTGGCACCCAGCATAGCTATGAGATGGATGAGAAATGGGCAAAATGTGGAACATGCTGGTTGTGTTCCAACCATGTGCCACATATGAGTATGGGAGCCGTAATCAAAACTAGCTAGGCAACTTACATATTGAGGTGCTATTGAAACACTGCAACTAATAGAGACAGAGGGCAGACCAGTTCACAAGGGATACCACAGAACCAATTCAGCACACTCCCAGCCATGCACACCTATGAGGTCAAAGAGCCTATTTAAAACCATTTAATTGGACAGAATGCTTATGTATTGACAGCTCATCTGGAACAATAGTCCTAGGCAAGAATGGGTTTAATGGCAAACTGCAACCAAATCAGCCCCTACAGTAAAATATGCACGCTCTACCACATATCATTTTCTTTGACTGTAGGAATAATCACTAGAATAAGATGTATACAGGTATTCAAATTCTCTTTGATTCCACCCCATTCTAAGATGTTTTATACATAATTTTGCATATGAAATATACCCCAAAACACTTAATAGTGGCAGCACATAAATCACTATATGAAAAAACTGTAAATGCTCAAATGTTGATTTAAAAATAGTTACAAAATCTCAACTTTTTGGTCGTTGTAATGCATGAAGGTTTGATGTTTGGGATGATTTTCAATTAATTAGTCAAATTTCTAGGGATTCTTCAAGATTTCAAGGAATACTGAGTTGTGTACCATAAACAACATATACAAAAGCTAAAATGGCACCACAAAAAAGTGCGGTAAGCGAGAGAAGTTTCCCAGCGTGCAGTTTGGGGCACTTTTCTTATTTGCATTCTAAAAAGAACACATTTGCCTGGACATTTTGATATATAACAAACGTTTTCCTTTTATTTAAGATCTCATTATTTTCTGAATTAGGTCATCCACTGATCCTGCTGTCTGGGACAGATGGGAGTTGTAATGTAAAACATTGGAAGGTATCAGGTTGCCAACCTCTTAATATCACTACTTCAAAAATGATTTAAAATCCATTTTAGGATTTTTTCAGCCAATGTGATGGGTCAAAACTGTACATCATTCCATTCTTGTTCTATTGTACTCATAAATATTATTCAAAGGCGCAATGTTAGAATAAACACAGACTGCTATTTTATTTTCCCTCGTGTTTGGTGGATGACAGGGCAAACACAAAGAGAAACAAACAGCAGGAAAAAGGGAATAATTTGGATCTACGCAGTGGTGCAGTGGTGCATTTTGAAGCATCTTTATGTGGGTTGCCATTGCCTTGGTCCCAAGGACAACCAAAAAATGCAGACCATTGCTTTGCTCCATATTAGCAGTTATTGCAGCTGGGCATCATTGCTTTTCTGGCCATATTTTTAAATTAGGCTCCCTTTATTTTTAAATAAATTAATTATTACAGTGATTCCTAAGCCTGTCAAGGGTGACCTTTATTGTGCTACTCACCTATTTGTTAACTAATGCAGATACTAAATAATGAATGTAATTCTGGTCAACACAGTGCGACTAGTTATCACAATAGTGACTCAACAGCAACTCAAGTGGGATTTATTGAAAATAGAGGGGGCAGATTAGTTAATTAGATAGCCTTAAATATTGATAGGACAGGCTGCCATTGTTGTTCTGGATGCCGAAAAGACCTTTGACAAAATTCACTGGACAATTATTTTCACTACATTTTATTTTCAAGTGCAAGAGCTAGAGTTCTGACCAATAGTCTCTTCTCAGAGTTTTTCCTGCTTGGGAGAGGTACCAGACAGGGATGTCCACTTTTTCCACTAATATCTGGTTTATCTTTAAACACAATGGTGGCAATCATGGTTTTCTGCATGACAGTTTAGAATTTAATCTTTTTCTTTACAGTGGCAATCTTTTACAGTCAAAACTACAGTATCTGCCCCAGCTTGGATACCATTGATTAATACTTGTGCTGATCCATGTGATTATTCAGTTAACTGGTCCAAGGCTGATTTAATGCTGAATGAAAGTCTCTATCTCATTGTGTGTTAGCTAATTGGTGGTTTCAACAGTACCTGGATCCTATTTAAGAATATTTATTCCCATGGATGTCTTTAAAATTATTAAGCTGAATTTGAGTAAGTTAATTAATGAGATCTCACAGGATAGAAAGAGATGGGCATCTTTAAAGTTGAGTTTGCAGGGAAATGTCAGTATACTCAAGAGGAATATTAAGCCTTGGATTGTTTACATTGTGCAAGTGAACCCCTTTTCTATATGTTCTATACCTGACACATATTTTCAAGTACTGCATGTTCTAGTTTGTAAATCTGGGGGGAGAGGGCTCCTTGCCATGAATATCTTTGAAATGGGTGCAAATTCTAAATAAAGAAGATGGGTTTCTCTTTCTGGGTCATCCGGCCTATGCATTGACCTGTACTGCATTGTTGCTTTTTCCACTTAAGAGTTGCTTTTTCCACTTAAGAGTAGATTATAATTCTTAGAAAGTTGTATTTTCACATATATACCCAAATTTCATTTTCATACATTGAAATGATGCATTCAAGTCTATTTAGTTACCCCTTTCTTCTTTTTGCTTTTTATGGTTTCATTTTGTTAAAATTTTATGCTAAAATTTAACAACCGCAACAGGGATAGCTCATATTAATGTATTTCTACTAGGAATACCCCACCACAAACTATTCCAAGGATTGCAGTTAAGCTCAGAGAGAACAGGAAAGACTAGGGGCCAGATATAATGGCAGCTGATGTCATGCGAAGCCACAGAACCTCAACTGTGTGAGCCCTGACTCCATTACTTTCCTGGATCTACAGTAACTCTCCTGGAATAACAGTTTTCCCATTAAAAGTTGAAATAATGCTTGACATGTGTTTCCCCTAAAATATGGGACCATGCAGGGCCCTGCTAAATCTTAGAACCTGTGGCTTGCCTAGAAAAAAATACATAGGGGAGAAGCACATAAGGGTCAAGCTAGATTTAAGTTTCAGAAAGAGAAAGAACGGCTTATTTCACTTTAATTATCCTATAATAAATTTATTTTCCTTGAAAGAAGCACAATTTTTGACAAAGTTTCAAGAAGAACATTTAAAATTTCAGACCTATTTTACAACTTCAAGCTTAGGGTGGTATATGTTGCATAGAAGGAAAGAAAACAGCTGCACCACCAGTATGACCCTTACTGTACAGTTACAAATCCTATGAAGTCATATGTTTACATGAACTAAAAACACACACTCCATAATCTGATGAGGGGGAACTACTTTTTTAAAAAAAAAATCTGTTATTTATATTATTTTTTATTTTCAAAAATAATGACACAATGAGGAACCATGAGAGAGGGAGAAAAGGAAGATATCAGAAAGAATGTCTATTCGTTTACATCATCCTTAAGGTAAAAGAGATTGAAAGAGATTGAAAAAGAAATTAAGTGGACCAGCTACTTTTTCTCTGTGTATGTGTGTGTGCGCACGCTCCCCTTCCCTCTACCCCTCAGGTGTCACTTCTGCTACACCTTTTACAATGAATAATATTCAAGCTGAAACACGGAGACCAAATGTAGCTGAACAACATTGGCTCACCTCCATGAAGCAGGACTGCTCGGCCATTCCTTGAAACAGCTGCTTTGGCACTGCTCTCTGACAGGCCAAACAGCCACCCTCTGTCCCTTCTGTTAAGGATCTCCACACACAAGGAAGGCAAATGGCTACACGGCATAGCTAGGTCCCTTTCTTGTCCCAGTGCAAGAGCATCTGTGGTAACAATGGACAGAGAACTGAGCTTGGAATTTGCCAAGCCAGTCATGGGCAGTAGATTCTCTTTCTACCACAGCTCTCTGGGAGGAGAATTCAGGAGAACCACTCTGACAAAGCTCTATATTTGAGTAATGCTCTCCTTTTAGGTGAGAGTGGCCTTAATTCTCACAGAAAGATTTCAGCTAACCCAACCCATTTTTGGCCATGGCCATCTGATATTGATTCCTATTTAACAGGTGGTTAACATTTATTTATTATATTTTTTTCTGGCAAAGAACCCAAAGCATCTTACTTGATCTGCTTTGTCTTCTTTTTGTCTTCATAACAATCCTCTTAGGCTAAGAGTTGGTGACAAACCCCAAGTTCCCCAGTGAATTTAATGGCCTACAATCAGACTTCTATTTTTACATCCCTCTTGATATTTCACACATTTGTGGTTATTGGGACAGGGTTTAGCAATTTTGGACTACAATTTCCATCTGTTGTGAAATAAACACATAAATACGACCCTGCAGGTGGAGCTAATTTTTTTTGATTGAAAAGTAAGAAAGATTCCATTTGGAACCAACTTCTTAATACCAAGCTCCATTTCCCTAAAAGCTGGTATTCTAACTTCGTTGGTGGGTCTCTTCTGCAATGACCTCTACAATACTCTTCTATCACAGAGCCAACCTAGCTGGCCAGTTTAACATAATAAAGATTGCAGTTACAACTTCTTGCCTTGATCCGCTTGGAAGGGGTAGGGATGGGGCAGAGATGGGTCTCTGACAAACACTGACTTTCACTCCTCGCACAGAAGCGCAGCTGTTTGCCAGCATGCTAGTGCAGACAGTTTACTCTTCAGCAAGAAAGGCTAGAACAATGGGACTACAACAGTAGCAAAGTGTTAACTCCACACACACTTGTAAAGGATACAGGTTAGCCACATCATATGGACCTCGCAGCTGGAGAGGCTACAGCAGAAAACAGAGCAAAGTTATTATATATACAGACAGCAGTCAATAAATATGTAACCGTATATTCTAGGAGTATGGCACTATACAATTTCTGCCATGCTACACAGATGAAACTTGGAGACTAGAAGCACACTCAACTTCCCATCCCAGTTAGTCCAACTTTTTAATGGCAACAGGCACCTCACAATTATTTGTATCAGCTGATGATCAGCTGTTTACATAACTACATCTTTTCAGACATTCTGCAATCACCAAAGGTAAGGTATTCTGCTATCACAGATCTGGGCAACCTTTTTGGCCCCAGAAAACAGATCGAAGCTGCAGGCATGAACTCCCAGAGCCTTGCATCCACCCCCTTCCGGACATCCAGACATAGAGAAACGCTCTCATTTCCCTGCATGTGGGTGGGGAGGAGGCTTAAGTATCCCTTGCCTGCGCACAGAGATGCTTTCGGAAGCAGAATTGCACTGGAGACAGCCAGTAGCGTCATCTGAGGCATCTCTACTGCAATGGAAAAGGGCAGAGAGGCATTGTGCCATTTGGGGAGTGGGAGAGGGTGATCTATGGGGGAAGGGAGGACTGCCATGCGTGACCTGCCCTGCACTCCTCCCTTGCCACAGGTCGTTACAGAGTGACTTAAGCACAGGAAGCACGTGAGACCTGCAAGAACTGCTTGCAGCCCATGGCTGTCCATGTATGTGTCACCAGAATGGAGTGTGTGGGAAGAGGCATACATGGAAATGCTGTTTTGTTAACAGGGAAGAAATACAAGGGGGTAATTTAAAACGAAGCAAGCATTTCAGGCATCTATTAATCTTTAAAGAATTAACCACACACTTACCTTTTCAGCTCCACTGGAGAGAATTATATTCTAGGAATAAAGGCAAGAGTTACTGATGCTAGGCAAGGTAAAAATCAAGTCCACGGAAGAGTTGCTGAATGCAGTCTCTTTCCTCCTCCAACAGGCTCAGCCAGCATGGTCAAAGGTCAGGATTACTGGGAGTTGTGGCTGAAAACATCTGGCGGACAGCAGGGTTGGGGAAGACAGCTCAAGAAGCAGGGACAGAGCCATCATGAGTTGGGGTGCTGTGCAGCCTTCTTCAACCTCATGCTGTCCAGATGTCTGCCAGACTCCCATCAGGAGCAACAATCAAGGGTGATGGGACTTTTGCTCTGAAGCACCTGGAGGGCACCAGGTTGTGAGAAGCTGGATGAGAATGCTGGAGTAGGAGCCTGGAGCTGGAAAAATAAAATCTCCACTTGGTGTCAAGCTCCCTAGCTGGCCCCGTTAAATACAGCACATTCTTGAAGTTCTGCACCAAGAGAAGCTGAGTGCTACAATCAGAATTCTCCTTCATGGATCACTGCCTTGTCGCGGCGAAGGGGCTTGAGTAGCTCAATGAAGCTATGAGCTATGCCATGCAGGGCCACCCAAGACGGACAGGTCATAGCAGAGAGCTCTGACAAAACAGGATCCACAGGAGAAGGAAATGGCAACCCATTCAAGTATCTTGGCCATGAAAACCCCATGGATGGTACCAAAAGGCAAAAAGATATGACTCCGGAAGATGAGTCTCTCAGGCTGGGAGGTGTCCAATATGCTATTGGGGAAGAGCTGAGGGCTAGTATTAGTAGCACCAGAAAGAATGAAATGACTGGGTCAAAGCCAAAAGGACACTCAGTTGCGGATGTACAGTATATCACAGAAGTGAGTACACCCCTCACATTTTGTAAATATTTTGTTATATCTTTTCATGTGACAACCCTGAAGAAATGACACTTTGCTACAATGTAAAGTAGTGAGTATACAGCTTGTATAACAGTGTAAATTTGCTGTCTGCTCAAAATAACTCAACACACAGCCATTAATGTCTAAACTGCTGGCAACAAAAGTGAGTACACCCCTAAGTGAAACAGTCCAAATTGGGCATTATTAGCCATTTTCCCTCCCTGGTGTCATATGACTCATTAGTGTTATAAGGTCTCAGGTGTGAATGGGGAGCAGGTGTGTTAAATTTGGTGTTATCGCTCTCACTCTCTCATACTGGTCACTGGAAGTTCAACATGGCACCTCATGGCAAAGAACTTTCTGAGGATCTGAAAAGAAGAATTGTTGCTCTACATAAAGATGGCCTAGGCTATAAGAAGATTGCCAAGACCCTGAAACTGAGCTGCAGCACGGTGGCCAAGACCATACAGCAGTTAACAGGACAGGTTAACAGGACAAGTTTGGCCTTGGAGTACAAAATGAAGCAGGGCACAGGCTGGTAGAACTTTGTCAAGAGAATACGATGGACATAGCCAGGGGTCGGCAACTTGTAACACTCAAAGAGCCATTTGGACCCGTTTCCCACACAAAAGAAAACACCAGGAGCCGCAAAACCTTTTTGAGATCTAAAATGAAGATAACACTGCATATATCGGTTTTTACCTTAATGCTATGTATATCTTCATTATGATTTAGCTGCAGCTCTTGTTCAATCACTAAAAACTGGTATTTTTAATCTTACATTATACACTAGTAGGACTCCTTTCATATATTTTGAAAAGGAGAACAGCTGAAAAGTCAAAATCAGTGCTAAAGGGCTCCATGCATTAAACAGCAAACCCCATAAGTTTGTCAGCAGTAAAAGCAAATGAATCTACCCAAGTATCAATAAATGTTTGGTTTTCTTCAGAAACTTTTCTTCGATTTATCCAAGGGCTGTGCCGGCATGGACCATGGATCGGCCGGTGGCCGCCGCTGCATCGCTGTGCTGGCATGGGCTGTGGATTGGCCGGCACGGGCTGGGAATCGGCTGGTGGCGGCCGCGGATCGGTGGCGACTGTGACGCGAGCGATGGAGTCGCGGCAGAGGCATTCAAGAGCCACATGCAGCTCTGGAGCCGTGGGTTGCCGACCCCTGGTCATAGCAAACACTCTTTTCCAATAACGCAAGAGACGACTCTACACATGGACATCACCAGACGGTGAACACAGAAATCAGATTGACTATGTGCTCTGCAGCCAAAGATGGAGAAGCTCTATACAGTCACTAAAAACTAGACCAGGAGTCAACTGTGGCTCAGATCATGAGCTTCTGGTTGCAAAATTTAGGCTGAAATTGAAGAAAGTAGGGGAAAGCACTAGGACACTCAGGTATGACCTAAATCATATCTCTGATGAATATACAGTAGAGGTTGTAAATAGATTTAAGGAATTAGATCTGATAGACAGAGTGCCTGAAGAACTATGGACGGAGATTCGCAACATTGTACAAGAGGCAGCAACTAAAACCATCCCAAAGAAAAAGAAATGCAAGAAAACAAAATGGCTGTCTGAGGAAGCTTTACAAACAGCTGAGGAAAGAAGGGAAGTGAAAGGCAAGGGCGAAAAGGAAAGATACACCCAATTGAATGCAGAATTCCAGAGAATAGCTAGAAGAGATAAGAATGCCTTCTTAAATGAACAATGAAAAGAAATAGAAGAAAAAAATAGAATAGGGAGGACCAGAGATCTCTTCAAGAAAATTGGAGATATGAAGGGAACGTTTCATGCAAAGATGGGCATGATAAAGGACCAAAATGGCAGGGACCTAACAGAGGCAGAAGAGATTAAGAAGAGGTGGCAAGATTACACAGAACCATACAAGAAAGAGCTTAACGTCCCTGATAACCACGATGGGGTGGTCACTGTCCTCGAGCCAGACATCCTGGAATGTGAAGTCAAATGGGCCTTAGGAAGTCTGAGCAACAACAAAGCTAGTGGAGGTGATAGTACTCCAGCTGAGCTTTCAAAATCCTAAAAGAAGATGCAGTAAGTGCTACACTCAATATGCCAGCAAATTTAGAAAACTCAACAGTGGCCACAGGATTGGAAATGGTCAGTTTACATTCTGATCCCAAAGAAGGGCACTGCCAAAGAATGATCAAACTACTGCACCACTGCACTCATTTCACATGCTAGCAAAGTTATGCTCAAAATCCTACAAGCTAGGCTCCAGCAGTATGTGGACAGAGAACTACCAGAAGTACAGGCAGGATTTCGAAGAGGCAGAGGAACTAGAGATCAAATTGCCAACATATGCTGGATCATGGAGAAAGCTAGGGAGTTCCAGAAAAATATCTACTTCTGCTTCATTGACTGTGCTAAAGCCTTTGATTGTGTGGATCACAACAAATTTTAGCAAGTTCTTAAAGAGATGGGAGTACCAGACCATCTTATTTGTCTCTTGAGAAACCTGTATGTGGCTCAAGAAGCAACAGAGAGAACTGGACACGGAACCACTGATTGGTTCAAAACTGAGAAAGGAGTTTGACAAGGCTGTATACTGTCACCCTGCCTATTTAACTTATATACAAAGCACATCATGAGAAAGGCGGGGCTAGAGGAATCACCAGTTGGAATTAAGGTTGCTGGGAGAAATATCAACAACCTCAGATATGCAGATGATACCACTATCATGGCAGAAAGTGAAGAGGAACTGAAGAGCCTCTTGATGCGGGTGAAGGAAGAGAGCACAAATGTTGGCTTGAAACTCAACATTAAGAAAACTAAGATCATGGCATCCAGTCCTCTCACTTCCTGGCAAATAGATGGGGAAGAAATGGAGGTAGTGACAGATTTTATTTTCCTGGGCTCTAAGATCACCGCAGATGGGGACTGCAGCCAAGAAATTAAAAGATGCTTGCTCCTGGGGAGGAAAGCTATGGCAAATCTAGACAGCATACTAAAAAGCAGAGACATCACCCTGCCAACAAAAGTGTGTATAGTCAAGTGCGTATGGTTTTCCCAGTTGCAATGTATGGCTGTGAGAACTTGGACCATAAGGAAGGCTGAGCGCCGAAGAATTGAGGCCTTTGAATTGTGATGCTGGAGGAGACTCCTGTGAGTCCCTTGGACCGCAAGGCGATCAAACTGGTCAGTCCTAGAGGAGATCAACCCTGACTGCTCTTTAGATGGCCAGATCCTGAAGATGAAACTCAAATACTTTGGCCACCTAATGAGAAGGAAGGACTCCCTGGAGAAGAGCCTAATGCTGGGAACAATAGATGGCAAAAGAAGAAGGGGACGGCAGAGAATGAGGTGACTCCATCCAG